GCAATCCTGAGGAAAAAGAGCAAAGCTGGAGGCACAACCCTCCCAGACTTCAGACAATACTACAAAGCTACAGTAATCAAAACAGCATGGTACTGGCACAAAAAGAGACATATGGATCAATGGAACAGAATAGAGAGCCCAGAAATAAACCCACTCACCTATACGGTCAACTAATCTTTTACAAAGAAGGCAGGAATATACAACGGAGAAAAAAAGTCTCTTCAGCAAGTGGTATTGGGAAAGCTGGATAGCCACATGTAAATCAATGCAGTTAGAACACTCCCTCATACCATACAAAAAATAAACTCAAAATGGCTTAAAGACTTAAATATGAGACATGATGCCATAAAACTCGCAGAAGAGAACATAGGCAAAACATTCTCTGACATAAATCATAGCAATATTTTCTTAGGTCAGTCTCCCAAGGCAGCAGAAATAAAAGCAAAAAGAAACAAATGGGACCTAATCAAACTTACAGGTTTTTGCACAGCAAAGTAAACTGTAAACAAAATGAAAAGACAACCTACAGACTCAGAGAAAATATTTGCAAACAATGCAACCAACAAGGGCTTAATTTCCAAAGTACACAAAGAGCTCATACAACCCAATAACAAAAACAAAAAACCCAATCAAAAAATGGGCAGAAGACCTAAATAGACATTTCTGCAAAGAAGACATACAGATGGCCAAAAAGCACATCAAAAGATGTTCAGCAACGCTAATTATTAGAGAAATGCAAATCAAAACTACAATGAGGTGTCACCTCACACTGTTCAGAATGACCATCATCAAAAAGTCTACAAATAACAAATGCTGGAGAGGATGTGGAGAAAAGGGAACCCTCCTTTACATTGGTGGGAATGTAAATTGGTGCAGCCACCATGCAGAACAGTATGGAGGTTCCTTAAAAAACTAAAACTAGAGTGACCGTATGATCCAGCAATCCTACTCCTAGGCATATATCTGGAGAAAACACTAATATACGAAAAGATATATGCACTCCAATGTTCGCAGCAGCACTATTTACAATAGTCAAGACATAGACGCAACCTAAATGCCCACTGACAGATGAACGGATAAAGAATGTGGCATATATATATACAATGGAATATTAGCCATGAAAAGGAATGAAACTGCATATATATATATATATATATATATATATATATATATATATACACACACACACACACACACACACAGTGGGATATATATACAGCCATAAAAAGGAATTAAATAATGGCTTTTGCAGCAACATGGATGGACCTAGAGATTATCATACTGAGTGAAGTAAGTCAGACAGAGAAAGACAAATATCATATGATATCAATTATATGTGGAATCTAAAAAAATGTTACAAATGAACTTATTAACAAGACAGAAACAAACTCACAGACATAGAAAACAAACTTATGGTTACCAAAGGGGAAAGCTATGGAGGGAAAAATTAGGAGTTTGGATTTAGCAGATACAAACTGTGTATAAAACCGATAAACAACAAGGACCTACTGTATAGCACAGTATCTTGTAATAAACTATAATGGAAAAGAATTAATATATATATTTATATATAGAAATATAGGTAGATATACACCTGAACGACTTTGCTGTACACCAGAAACTAACACAACATTGTAAATCAAGTATACGTCAATAAAAAATAAATTAAATTTTTAAAAAAAGAAATTAACAAATGAATGGGTTCTGTTTTCCCTCACTAATCCGACCTCCTTCATATTTCACACTTATCGTGGTTTGTATCTCTCCTGACTCACAGATTTTCATAAATTACCAAGAAAGAGCTCTGAAGAAAAGCCGAAGAAATAAGGAACAATGTCTGAAAGGATTCCTCCTGACCAATCATGTCTCACACACATGTGGCATGCCTGGATTCAGGAAGCTAAGTAACAAACACAAATCTGGATGGATATAGTACAAGCAGACACTTTCCAGAGATGCATAATATTTTGCCATCGTTTTGATTAGAACATGTGCTTGTTATAAAAGCAGCAGAAGGAGCCTACAATTTAAAAGAGCATCCCATTTGCTTCAAGATAGGATTAAGGGAGGGAGGGGGAGTGGTGGATGCAGGTATGGGTGAAAACAGATTGGTATGAGTGGATAATTTCTGAAGCTGGGTGATAGTACATCAGATTTCTCTATACCATTTGCTCTACTTTCGTGTGTTTGAAATTTTCTATAATAAAACATGAAAGAAAAAAGGCATTCCAGAAGTTTCTGCTCACCTCCTTCCACCCCTACAAGACTGATAAGCTAATCAGGCTGCTTAGGTGTTGAGACGTCATTCAGGTAAAGTCAAGATACTGCTTTTTCAGATGCTTCCTCCTTGCTGACTATCCCATGTCCCTTTTTCACACCGTAGTGTACCACAGGGCAATCAGTAGGTTAAAATATGTACAGGAGAATACATTGGTCAACATCTATGTCTTCAATATAATAAATCCCAATTTTCTTCCGTATTTTGCCATAAAGTGGAGCCCATGCCTGCATGCTGTGTCACCAGTGGGCAGGTGCAGCACAGGAGGCATCTCTGTTCTGGTGCTGGAGACAAAAATAGGAAATGTCACAGTCCAAGCCTCCTGGCTCAGGAGTTGGATCTGTTGCTTGCCAGCTGGTGCACCTTGGCAAGTTACCTAACATGTATCTCACAGCGGTGGTGTGAAAATTAAATAAGGATAAAGAATCTAGCCAATTTACATTCCCACCAACAGTGCAAGAGTGTTCCCTTTTCTCCACACCCTCTCCAGCATTTATTGTTTCTAGATTTTTTGATGATGGCCATTTTGACCAGTGTGAGATGATATCTCATTGTAGTTTTGATTTGCATTTCTCTAATGATTAATGATGTTGAGCATTCTTTCATGTGTTTGTTGGCAATCTGTATATCTTCTTTGGAGAAATGTCTGTTTAGGTCTTCTGCCCATTTTTGGATTGGGTTGTTTGATTTTTTGCTATTGAGTTGCATGAGCTGCTTATAAATGGGGAACAGTATGGAGGTTCCTTAAAAAACTAAACACAGAATTACCATATGACCCAGCAATCCCACTACTGGGCATATACCCTGAGAAAACCATAATTCAAAAAGAGTCATGTACCACAATGTCCATTGCAGCTCTATTTACAATAGCCAGGACATGGAAGCAACCTAAGTGTCCATCAACAGATGAATGGATAAAGAAGATGTGGCACATATATACAATGGAATATTACTCAGCCATAAAAAGAAACGAAATTGAGTTATTTGTAGTGAGGTGGATGGACCTAGAGTCTGTCATACAGAGAGAAGTAAGTCAGAAAGAGAAAAACAAATACCATATGCTAACACACATATATATGGAATCTAAGAAAAAAAAAAAGGTCATGAAGAAACTAGGGGTAAGATGGAAATAAAGACACAGACCTACTAGAGAATGGACTTGAGGATATGGGGAGGGGGAAGGGTAAGCTGTGACAAAGTGAGAGAGAGGCATGGACATATATACATTACCAAACGTAAAACAGATAGCTAGTGGGAAGCAGCCGCATATCACAGGGAGATCAGCTCGGTGCTTTGTGACCACCTTGAGGGGTGGGACAGGGAGGGTGGGCGGGAGAGAGACGCAAGAGGGAAGAGATATGGGAACATATGTATATGTATAACTGATTCACTTTGTTATAAAGCAGAAACTAACACACCATTGTAAAGCAATTATACTCCAATAAAGATGTTAAAAAATAAAAAAAGAATCTAGCCAAAAGTCTGGTATTTAGCCTCACTCAGTAAATGCAAATTATTGCCTTTCCTGTCGGAACCTGTCTCTTGGCAGCAGCAACAAATAGGAATGGAAGCTGGTGTGACTACCATCTATTTATAGCTGCTGTCCCAGCAGAAGCAGGGGACTGGGGAGGAAGGGCTTTCCCTCCTGGTATATTCTGGGTCTGGATAGGTTCCTTGGATTCGGGAATTTTTTTCTTCTGCTTACAAAAATACTAAATGATAAATATGTAAAAATGTATAAAATACATAGACAAGCACAAATAAGAAAATAAGAACTATCCATAATCCTTCCAGTAAAATAACCATGGTTGACATTTTGTGGTATATGATACATACATACATACACACACATAGATACAGATATATGCGCTTTTTTGTGAAAGTGAAACTGCATTCTATATACTCTATATACCGTTTGGTCACTGCTTTTCTCACTTAACAACGTATCAAAAGCATTTTTTTTTTTTTTTTTTTTTTTTTTCCCATCCGCGGGCCTCTCACTGCCGTGGCCTCTCCCTTTGCGGAGCACAGGCTCCGGACGCGCAGGCTCAGTGGCCATGGCTCACGGGCCCAGCTGCTCCGCGGCATGTGGGATCTTCCCGGACCGGGGCACGAACCCGTGTCCCCTGCATCGGCAGGGGGACTCTCAACCACTGGGCCATCAAGGAAGCCCCAAAAGCATTTTTCATGTCATTAAAATTTCTTCTACATCAATTTAAAACAGCCGCCTAAATTGTACATAATAATATACAATTATTAACACTAGTTCAGTGGATATTTTCATAAATATTGGTATATATTCACAGTAAATTAAGGTAAGTTCTTGGGCGTAGGGTGCTGGGTCAAAGTATGCAGATATTTAAAAGTGTAAAACATGAAGTCATGTTACCCTCCAGAAAGATTACATCAATGTATTTTCCCAGAACATCATTCTCGTCTTCTCGGAACTGGGGAGTGATTTAAGTGTATGAATTCACTCATCAAATATGTATTGATGGCTTACTGTCTGGCTTTTTTGCCTCTCATGGGACCCTCCCCCAGGATCCACACCCACATCCAATCTTGGGCACATCCCCTAAACCCAAACTTTGCCAAGTTCCTGGCACCTGCCTCAGCTGCTGAGTGGACTCCACTCAGCTCCCCAAAAGTCCTGCCTGCTGATCAGTCACCAAGCCGCCTGTCCTCCTTTTCTTTCTGCCTTTCCTTTGTGGTGGGAGCAACCATGGCCTGGAGTTTCCGTGAGAGAGCCCAGCTTGGGGGACTGCTCCTCTCTCTGCTTGGCTGTGTCTGTTCATGTGTCACCACCGTCCTGCCCCAATGGAAAACTCTCAGTCTGGAGCTGAACGAAATGGAGACCTGGATCATAGGACTTTGGGAGGTCTGCGTAGATCAGGAGGAAGTTGCCACTGTGTGTAAGGCCTTTGAGTCCTTCTCGTCTCTGCCCCTGGAGCTCCAGGCAGCCCGCACCCTCATGGTAGCCTCCCATGGGCTGGGACCACTGGGGCTTCTGCTCTCTGGTTTTGGGGCCCAATGCTTCCAGTTTCACAGGATCAGATGGGTATTCCAGAGGTGGCTTTGCCTCCTGGGAGGGGCTTTGGAGGCATCAGCTTTGGCCACTCCCCTCTTTCCAGTCTCCTGGGTGGCCTGTGCCGCAATCCCAGACCTCTGAGATGACAGCGTCCCTGAGATTGTGCCTTGGTGGGAGTTTGGAGATGCCCTCTAGCTGGGCTGGGCTGCTGGTGTTTTCCTGGCCCTTGGTGGGTTACTCCTTATCTCCTCGGCCTGCCTGGGAAAAGAAGATGTGCCCTCTGTCCAGATGGCTGTCCCTACAGCAGCCCCACCATCCTGTGCTCCAGCGGAGGAGTCCGATCGCTCGTTCCACCTAAACGCCAAGACCTAGGATCCTGTTCATCTAGGACAAGCTTTGCCAAGAAATCTATGGAACAGAGAAATGTCAGGAGAATCCTCTCTCTTCCTTATCCTCCATCACTCTATATTTGCTTGCCTCATTTTAGAGGTGGTAGTCACTGTCTCATTTGTTCAGGAATTTGACTATCTTGGTGATATGGTGATCCTAATTTCAGAATGAAAAATCAAGGTATAGTTTCTAGAGACATGTTTATCTGATTTAGATTTTATTTACATAAAATACTTTTAAACTCATAACATTAATTATATACTTGATTCTTTTATTACTAGGGAAAAAGTATTACAAAATAGCGTTCAACCTAGAAAACCTAGTCTACGGAATATGAAGATAGAAAAGCTAAAGATATGCCTTTGCAAATGAAAATGAATTATTGGCCTATAATATCACCTCAGGACAGGGACCCTCCTTGGGTTCATTTTCAGTCTCGGGTGCACGATTTGAAAGGGAGTTTCACAATATATCAGTCCTTGTGGCTGTACCCAAGGACTGCCCAATGTGGGCATACATGTGGAGAGAATTATCAGCTACTCGGAAATGTCTTTTACCATATGCAAAATCACATTATAAATCCCTTAAATGTTAACCTAAATGTCAGCAGAACTAGGTAGGCTATGGCAACCAGTAAAGTCCCTTTCACAACAATGACCCAAGTTCCTTTGCTTCCTGACCGCCTGGCCCAGGTCTTCCTCAGGCATTTCTGCCAAGTCCTCAAGGAGGAGCCTCCCGCTTGCTCATAAACCTGCTCATCAGCTGAAACTACCCTGCGTGTCCACCCTGATCCTCTAGCTACCATCTGCCTCCCACTGCCTTAATCAGTTGAGAGTCACCACTGACCCCCTCGACAATTCCCACAGGAGAACAACTAAGGGTGATGGTTCCCAGTGTCCCCAGATATGTCCCTTTTCTGAGTTGAGGCACCTTTTGCTCGCAGGACTGAGGAGCTGGTACTGTGCTTTGCCTTGAGGCTGTACTGCTTGTGCTCAGATGCCTCTCCTTCTCAATTAAATAACATCGGCACAGCCCTGGCATCTTGAGGTAGCCACCACAGAATACGCACACACCAACACAAGAATAAACAAGTTTGCCGGCATAGCCCAGACCAGTTCCCTTCTTTTATTTTTCCTGAGGAAATGAGTCTGCTCAGGTGCAACTTTGTCTTCAGCACCTGACTCAGTTACCTTCTCACGCAGAATAGCATCCTCTAGGAGTCACAGTTTCTCCAGAAAGCTCCTTTCCCAGTATGTCCTTTTGTATATGTCCACTTGACATACACAAATCCAAATGACTCTTGGGTAAATAAATTTTTGAGTATAAAAGAGCAGTTTGCATCAAATTTGTATTCTGGACTTCTCTGGTTCCAACGCCCATTTTATCAACTACCCCTTCTTGATTATGTTTCAAGGATCTTTAGGCCAAGTTTCAATCGGGGGTGAAGCTCAAATTTCCAAGAGTTATCCTTGGATTCCATAGGATCTACAAGAAGGACTCGTTTTGTTATTCATCCATCTGGCCGTTTATTCACTCTTTGAACAAATATTTATTGAGCACCTACCACGTGCTAGGCATTGTGCTAGCAACCAGGAATAAAACGGTAGGACAAAATGTATCCCTGCCCCTCATATAGGCAATTAGGGGAGACAAATATTAATGGGAAATCACATCAATGCAAATTGTAGTTGTGACAAACTTTACAAATCTGGAAAGGTACATGGTTCTATAAGATCATGCAATAGGAACAATTTAACCTAGTCAGGTTAAATGAGTGGGTACCCTAAGGAAATGATAACTGCCTACAAGCTAAAGGATGGATAGCAATTCTAGATAGAGAGAGAAAAAAGTAAAAGACAAGGCTGGTGAAGTAGGAAGGAGCATGTTGTCTCTGTTCTCAGAACCAAGGGAAGCCAAGCATGAGGCCAGGAACAGGAGGTCAGCTGACTGAAACAGTAGCCTGCTCCACCTTTCCTAACACCTTGTCCCTGGGCCGTATCCCTACCACACAGTTGTGTAGGGTTTAAGAGATGACAGTGCACTTCCACATATCTTGTGTTTTATTTACTGTTATATTGAGGGTTTTGTTTTTTTTTTTTGAGATTGGGAGAACAGATATTATTTGTTTTGCTAATGAGAAAATGAAGAATTTAGGCAACATGCCCATGGTGAGTAATTAGCTGGATGAGACTTGAATCCAAGGCTTGGATGCCATGGCAGGCTTTTGTCACCCACCCCATCCTGTTGTTTCATGGGGATGGGTGACTGAGACAATCCACCAGACCAAAGGGAAAACTAGCACCCAAGCAGAAGAAAAAAACCAAAGACCTAAAAGAAAAATCTTGTGCTCTGCACGTTTGTTGAGGTCTAAACAGGATCTTTGTTGCCAGGTGGCTCACCTGGTCCTGCTGGTGACCTGCAGCCCTCATCCTAATCCCACGTGTGCAGGCGCTGATGGTATTTTTCATCAGCATGTGATTATGGCTCCCTCTGCAAAGAAACTGGACACAAACTAAAGATTTATTAAGAAAAAAAATAGCCTGTTTTCCTAACTCTCCTTTATAAAGGACACAAAGGCATTTAAAAAATTTTTTTAAAGGTCTGCATTTTAAAAAAATATTTACTTATTAATTTGGCTGCGGCAGGTCTTACTTGTGGCACGCAGGACCTTTTAGTTGCAGCATGCGGACTTCTTAGTTTCGGCACGCATGGGGGACCTAGTTCCTGGACCAGGGATCGAACCTGGGCCCCACGCATTGGGAACTCAGAGTCTTACCCACAGGACCACCAAGGAAGTCCCCAAAGGCATTTCTTAAAACAATAGGAGTGGGGCAGGGACTGCTGATTGATTCCCAAGCAGTCAATAGCACGTCATCCCCTGAAGGAAAGGTGATCTGCATTCTGGCCAGAATCTACTTTTATAGAAAGAGTCTGAGGAATAAGATGCTTTTCGCCAAAAACTGCCACTGTTTTTATCTACCTGCGTTGTAGGGAA